TTAGCCCAGAGACCGCATTAAGAAGCCCTAATGTCATGCCCAGACAGGGGGGCCTAATGATCTTGGGCCCAGCAAACGCATGTGGCTGTGGTGACCAACTAACATGGTCAATGGCGAATTAGCCTTGAACTCTTCACATGGCTAACACGGTTGACATACGCGCTTTTTGTCACTCTTTAATGGTTGAAACAGCAGAGGGCTGGGGTCGCAGAAGCCGCCACTGCAGCCGACATTCTCACGAGTAAAGTTCTCAGAGAGCCACGAGCCATGTGGTCGACTTTTAGAACTATTCAAGTCTACATGTATGAATGTTACATTACATTCTACAGTGATCCTACATCTATAAGGAAAAAAAAAATAGTTCGGAGTGTATCAAAAATTTTTAATTTTTATATTTTCAATTCAAAAAAGTTTCCAAATTTAATTTTTTATTTATAAAACTTTCAAAATGATGTATTAAAACTCTACAAAAACTTGAAAACTCTTCTACAAATCGCTCACATGGCGGCGTACACGGCGCAGAAACTTTATGCATACTTTTAGGATGGGCCATCCATTCAATATCCACCAAACGCGATCCACAGCCAAAGGGTGACGCAAAATTGAGCTTGACTCTCTCTCGGCGCCGCTCTTTTGCTTTGAGTGTGAATTGAGATTAACAGCAACACTCGACAAAAACGACTCAATAAACTTATGAGTCAAGTTCGAGGTTCACTGTAGTCAATTCAGTTTGATGTGAACCAACTGTGTTTATTTTATTCATGGCTTTTACACGAGAGAAGATATATTTCTAAAGATATTCAACTGGCCATCTTTGAGTTGAATAACATCTAGATTTTTTGGTAATTTTCAGTTGAATATTTTACGTAGAGTCACTCAATCGCTAAGCAAAAGCGATCCACAGGCAAGGAGATCCGCATTACCTCTCCTCCGAAACTGTAACATACTTCTGGGATGAATGAGCTTCAAAAAAAAAGTTTTTTCCAAGATAGATCAGATTATGTGGTATTATCTTTACGGATATATCTAATATATAAAATATGATCAACATTTATGGCTTACAAATTAACCTTTAGCTTTTGAGACTTTAGATTGGGATCATTTGAGTTGGTTGAATTTCCTACCAGCAGCCTCGCTCGCTCTCTACGCTCAAGCTCCACTAAATGCGATCCACAGAGAGCACTACAGAGTGCTGATCCACATTGTGGCAGCGATCGTTCAGCCAATCCAAGTTTACACCTGTTGCCGTGCGCTTCGTACCTTCATCGACCGGTGGTTCATTCATTTCGTGGCACGTTCGGGTCGCCCCGTTGATGTCGATGTCGATTTCGGTTCATGTTATCTTGCGCCAGATCTGTCATTTACCGTTCTCGTACCAGATCGGTGCAAAGTGCACAAAAACAACATCGTTTTTAACAGCAGCTGAATTTACACAAATTCGCGACTGCGGTATATAGAGTGAAATCAATAATCGCAACGCTACCCAAGCGATCCATATCTCAGTGTCCCGTGAGTGGAGTGGAGTGTAGAGTGAAGTGCGAAAAAGGATCACAAAAAACTGTGTTCCCAATCCCCAATACCCCCTCGCAACCAAGAGAACTCCTTTTACAGCGCAACGCAACGCGTTCAATTATGCAAAGAGCCGGGCCTCGGGCTCCAGTGAAGGCTCCAGACGGCAGTGGATAAGCCGCCAAAGTGTCGAGTGAGGTGCGACCAGGGCCAGCCCAGGCATTGTCACCAGCGCATTTCAAACGATACGGATACACAGATACCTCCAATACAGATGCAGCAGCTACAACAAAATTACATTAAAACTCAAATGAAATTCGAGTCCGATTTGATATTCGAGGCACAGGCAGCGGGCCGGGCCGGCTGCCCCAGCATAATATTTTTATGGGCTTTATCAAAAATTCAGAATCGGTCACACACACTTCTGTAATGTGTGTGTGTGTTTTTTTTGAGTGCCGAAACTCTTTCGATATTGAGCAACGAACTTGAGGGGATATACCTAAGTATCCACCGACAGCGTAATGGCATTCATAAGCCAGTGGCAGCAGCAGCAGCAGCTCACTCTTTTTGATTTATTTAGATGCGTTAAATTTTAATAGCCGCTTGCTGCGCACTTTCACCATTTCCCATTACCCATTGCCCATTGCCGTGGATGTGGATGGCACAGCATCGCGGAATGAAGTCATAACCAAATAGGCTTACGACCCGCTCTCAGCCATAAAACATGGTCCAACTACACATTACTTGTCTAGCCATAAAAACACTTGGCAAAAAACCCAAAAATAATTTGATTACCGAGCCACACAGTGTGCGGCTTTGGCTTTCTCTGCCTCTTGATCCAATTAGCCAGAAGGAGAGCAGACTGGCAGAGTGGCAGAGCTGGGCTTTAGCCACCCACAAGCCAAACCGACGATTGTTATGGAATTGACTTACATACATGGTCTGCAATGTGTCAACAATGGCTTGTTAGCAATTGAGTCCCGATCCGACTACAAGTCCATGTATCCGTGTGTGTGGTGTGTGTGTGTGTGTGGGACGTCGACATGGGTTTTGCAATGGAAAAAACACCTTATTGACAAGAGACATTTGACTCAACCAACTGCAACGTGTGTGTGTGTGTGTGTGTGGTGTGTGGCGAGCAACTGCGTGTGGGCTTTGGTCAGAATTTATCTTTGATTTCTAATTGCCTGACATGCCAATTTAAATTTAATGCTCGGCCGATAGCAATTTCAAGAGAATTCTTGCCAGATATCCATAAAATTCAAATGCCAGACAGACAGATCCCGAAACGGAACCCCACAATTTGCCACAATATTTTATGACTAGCGCCTTGGTTACAACAGAGCGAGAGACAGAGCCAGAGCCAGAGCCTCGCTTAACCTAATCAATTTTTGCACTGATCGTTTTTGATTTGGCTTTATTAAGAAATTCTTCGTAATTATATACGGATAGCCGCTGGCAGGCGGCAGGCAGCAAATCGAAAGAAAACTGTTGTTTATGGTGTTGCCGCGTTGTGGCAGCAACTAGTTGTCTCAATTATGGCCCCCGACTGCATCAACTTTCTCCCTCACTTTGGCTGCTGCTGCTGCGGCTGCTGAGGCTGCTGCTTAACCCAAATCGACGCCTCTAACTAACTGGCGTGTTAATTTGTTAGTTTCCACTGGACAGACAGACACGCAGACCGACAGACACTCGGAAATTGTCAGAGCATGAAGACTGTGAAGAGAGGGAAAACCAAAGAAAAGAATCTCATCTCGGAATGTGGGGAATAGATTGGCCACTTTACAGTTATCAGTGTGTGGTTAGCATGACAATGGTCCAAAGGGGCAGGGCGGTAGGGGGGCACGCCACACGAGTGGGTCAACAACCTGTAGCCAAAGTCGAGACCCGATAGCCACTTTTCGTTATGTCAAATCGAGTTCGTTGGCAAAGTCTTTTGTCCCAACTTTATATGAAATCACAGTCCAAACAGCTCAACTCATCATTTGCATATTACACATGTTTTGTGTCTATTTTAACCAACAATTAACGAACTATTTCGTGTGACTGTTTTGGCCATTCATCATGGGGCCAGAGGAAACCTCCAGTTATGAGCATTTACGGAGGGAAGTCATAAATAAAGTTATACGAGTATGAGTATCCCACGAATGTGGTGGGAATGCTGTGGTGGGACGGGTGACTGGGGACTGCTGCAACACTGTCGTACATCATCATCGATAGATAGGCAAAAACCCAATTTGATCTGTCATTCTGTCGGGCCGCGTTAGTTTCCCAAACATCTGCCCCAGCGATAAGCCGAACGAGCGAACGAACGAACGGGTTTGGGTTTGCCTGGAAAATGGAGCAGCAGCCGCACTCGTTGGCGTTTCCTTTTCCGCGACGCTGTTTTGATTGCATTTGACATTTAACACGAGTGAGTGCGCCGCTGCCACAGATTAGAGTGGCAACCCGCCCACACACAGCCAGCCAGCCAGCGGAGGGAGGAGACGGGCCCGCGGCTGATATTAATTTTGCACCTCGGATCGCTGCGCTTTGTCTGCGATCAAGTTTCATGTAATCGTAATTAAAATTTAATAGAAATAAAACAGAGATCAGGAATTCCATGGCAATGACAAATTCCCATTAATGGGCAATCAATTCCCAGATGAGACAAAAGCATTTAACACTCGCCACTCGACTCGATTAGGCCAGGACAGGCGTTAGATTATTATCGGGCCCAATGAAATATGAGACTGCCCAGACAATGCCTCATTAGGCCCGCGTCTCAGCTCGGCCCCGACTTTCCCGAAAACTAGTTCTAGGCTCCTCTAAGCCTAAGCTGTGTGTGTAATTATTATGAGCTGAAGAGGAGGCAGTGCCAAAGAACAAGCCAGAACCCCAGCTAGAGCGAAGCGAGGCTTTAGGAAACCTAAATTATAGTTGGGGCATAAAATAGACAAACAAGTTAATCCATTAGCGGGCGCTGTCTCCACGAGTGAGACATCTGCCCACCCCACCCCACCACTGTAATGGTAGAACCGGAAAGAAGTCAACATTGTGTGTAGACCTCTATTAAACGCATATTTCTCATTGTTTATCTGGCTGGCTTTTCGTATGTTAATATTGGAAAATGTGCCAGCTGCCATTGGGCCATCAGACTGCATAATAAATTATGAAATTTTACAGTTGCAGCAGCATCTGTTAGCTGGAAGCTGGAATATGAAGCTGCATGATGCGGCGGGGGGAGGCCGAATGAGTTGTCATGTCTGTGGCGGCTTTCTAAACCACTTAACCAGGCAGTGATAAGTCCATAGATATGCCAGATTCTCTCCACCGCTGAATGGGATTCTTGATAACACAATTCCAGAAGATCAAAAGAGAAAAAAGAGACCTTCTTTTGGAGTTAAATGAAATGCAGTTGAAGTAGGCGGCAGCGGCAGCGGGGACACACACAACAAAAGGTTGAATGCGGTGAATGGCTTAAACAGTTTTTCGGGGTGGGGAGGGGGCCAAAGCCAAAGCCAAAGCCAAAGGAAAGTAAACCAAGACAAAGCAATTGACTTTTTAACCTGCATTCCTGTAAATTAAAGATAGTCCCCCGCCGTTGCCGTTGCCGTCGCCGTTGCAGTTGCAATTGCAGCTACACTTGCAGAAAAATCTACATAAATAGCAATAAAATTAATTGCGCTTGTCTGCCACATTTTCCACGCAGTTTTCCAGCCGCTGGCAATGAAAACCTGAAACTGGACAAATGTCCGGCAATAAAAGGCTGCATAAAACAAAGTGCACAAAAGCACAAAGCACTCTACGTTGAGCAGTGAGTAAAGGGGAGGTAGTGGAGGTAGTGGAGAGGGAGGAGAGAGAGAGGAGAAATCCTGACAAACTGGGTAATTGCAGTTGAGGATTGATGACAGAGCCGCCAGCGAATAAAACAGAAATAAAATCATGCCAAAACATGGCCAAAACAAATCACTTAAAATTGTGTGTAATAATAGTCGTAAAAGGCACTTCTGTATTTGGCTTGATTTGATATTGTGGTTCTATGCAAATTGCTTCTATGTACGACCCGTTATCTGGCCTGCCTCAGATGCCTCCAATCAGATTCATTTCAATCAATTTACCGACTGGCACTGGGTCAGGCCATACTCTCGTATTAGCACTGGCAATTTCCTATGGGGATAAATTATGCGACACCACACATAGATCGATCGGGGCCGTTGATGGCGTCACTTACACATGTCCGAACAGGCATCAATAAATACTAACGGTGCCTGGCGGCATTAAGTCCGACACTCGTCAGAGTCTCCAGTAAACAGCAAGCAGCAGCAGCAGCAACAGATACTCTCCACAAGAGTCTCCACATCTGCCATAGCCGGAAGTCTTTGTTTGGGCATTCTCGTTGGTTGGACTCCATTTTTGCTTTATGATTATTGTGTGATCGCGTTTTAATCGCCTCAAGACTCATTGAAATGGCTGATGCTGTGGCTTTTTGTGGCACATGTGAATCATGCACAAGGTGCCGCTTTTCTTTTGTAAACTGGTTTATTCCCACCCCATGGCCACTTACCCACTCATTGGGCTCTAATCACACCCGCCGTTGCCTATTGCCGTTTCTGGTTCTCGATTCTCTGGCTCTAACTGCAGATCTACCCGCGATCGCGTGCTGTGGTCTCCGACTTTGTTGCGGCTGGAAATCATCTTCAGTTCTGTTTGTGTGTCTGTTTGTGTGTGTGTGTGTGTGTGTGTGTTAGCCGGAAGCCAGCGACAGCCCCACATTCTGCCTACTAGTAGCAGTACCATGTGGGCGGGGGCTCTCAGTTATGATTACATTTGTTCTTCCTTATAATTCAATTATGTACTAGTTTGGGGGAATGAAGAAAAAAACTGGAATTCCTGGCTCAATTGTTGATTCTTTCTGAGTGACTTGGCATGTCTGCCTCTGCCCCTCCCTTGATGGCTGCCTGGGAAGCAGAGTTCTCCTATTTCGAGTGATCTTTGATCTTGAAGCCTTGGGTAATCTGATAAATATTGCCTCCACTTTTGATTGACAGCCTTCGTTCCTTCCTTTCCTCTATTCGCATTGATCTCATAAATATGACTCTTGCGATGCCCCCCACCCCCTAATGGAGTTGGCTTAGAGTTCTAAGAGCACTAAGCTAAAAGCAGCTTAATGCACTCTGGGATAGACACACACACACACACACACAAAACACACGTGTATGGCATGTTGGTTAGCTGCAATGGCTGTTAAGGCATTTGGCTACCACTCAAGCTTGATGCTGCCTCATCCTCAACCTCATCGTCGTCCTCAGCAGCTGCCGTTGCCTTTGCCATTGCCATTTCCCATTCCCGCTGCTGATGATGATGAAGATGAAGTTATTATTATCTGACAAGGGCATCGCCGCCATGGAAAACGGCATTGCAGTTGCATTGGCCTCGCACTTAGCAAAAATGTTTTCCACATTTTCCATCCATCCTCTGGTACCTTCTACGTGTCTTGTGTCTTTATTAGAGGCGTGACTAATCGCCTGATGGCTGTTGGCTGGTGGCTGATGGCTGATCATCATCCTAGCCTGGTCTGGCCATTACGATTACGCTTACTACTGGAAAACGTGGCCAACGCTTTGCTATTTACCTTAGATCCCATCACTATTAAGGCCACAACACAACTGTCAATTTTCGGGGTACACAACAATTTTCGATGATTATTTCTTGGGGAAAGTGTTGGCGTTGGCGGGGCCTTGATTCTGTTTCACAGATTTCCATCTCGTTTCGAGCGTAAATTATGGGCCATCGATCAAACGGCTTTGTTGGCCTTGCTTTTTCTCGCTGTGAAAGTTCCTCAAGATGAAATTTCCGTATCGTTTGAAATGCTGCTGGAAAATGGAAAAATATAAACAAAAGTACCACAAACTAAAGGAACTTTCCCAACTAATTAAAGGCCTCATGAAAAATAATTCTTTTAGAAAAAAAAACTAAACAAAAAAACAGATTAAATAAATTTAAAAACCAAAAAAAAATAAAAGGAAAAAGCTAAAAGGAGTATAAAGAAGGATAATGTCATTGCTAACAAGGAAAGACAACGCGAACTGAAAAATAATTACGGCCCCAGAACAATAATAATAAGCAACATGAGCAGCCTGTCAGCACCGCCAGGCGGCAGTGGAGGAGATGTTGCAGTGGCCACTGCCACTGCCACAAGCACAGCGACAGCGACTGCCACCGCAACTGCCACGGCCACGGGCAGCATGGAGCCAGCGATGGTGCCACGTACCGCCAATTTGCTGGCATGCAAACAATGGTGGCGCGTCTGCTTCTTGTACGGCGACCAGCAGAAATATTATCGACAGCTCTATAGCAAGGCAGCGGCCCAGCGCCTGGCCGGAGCCAATCAGGAGAACGACAATGCGGCCCGAACGGGCGAGGAAGCGGGCCAGGAGTACGACACGGTCGCGATGGGCGATGGCGATTTTATCGCGGCGCAATTAGATGCCGGAGAAGATGCGGACGATGGCATTGATCTGGGAGATAGCAGCCAGCTAGGAGGGTCAAGAGTGGCCAAAGGAGCTGCAGTAGGAGCCACAGCGACAGCAGGTCGCCCACTCTTTCCACTCTCCTCCTCGCCGCGACGCAGCAAAAAGCTGCTGCGCTCTCTGAGAGGCCACGTCAAGGCAGAGAGCAGACCGGAGAAGCCTGTGAAGGCAGCCAAGCTTCAGAGCGAACCGTCCAGCGAGCTGACCAAGCGCAATGCCAGGGTGACCGTGCTCGATGATCCCTTCCTCTTCGGCATCGATGCCGATCACCTGGGCGATCTGGTCAGAGGCAAGGGCAAGCAGTACAGTCCGCTGGAGGCCACCGAGAACATAGCCAGATTCTACGAGCTGCAGCTGGAGACGACGGAGGCCACGGCCCAGGTCCTGGAGATCATCGAACAGGAAGAGGAGCCCGAGCCACCCAAGCCTGCGCTGCCGCCCAAGCAGAAACAGCCACGTCCTGTGCCCCCGCTGCCGGCTCGGATTACCCAGCCAGCGGTGCTGCAACCGCTGACCGCCGGCGATCTACAGTTCCTGAATCTGAGCCTGCGGCATCGGAGTTTACCGCGCAGCATGAAGCCGTTTAAGGATCCCCACGATATCAGTTTCACTTTCAATGAGCTGGACATGAGCACGGGCGCCACTGCCTCAGCCACAGGCCCCGGAGCAGCCGCAACGGAAGTGGCCACAGGAGTCGGCGTCGGCTCCGCGCAGCAGGAGTCAAATGAGTGAGTAACTTTCCGCCTGGCATCTCTCGGTTCATTTGTCAGATGCAATTTGGCTCCCTATCCTCCCTTTTGCATTGCGCATTTAGCATTTCTGGTGCTGCTTTGCTGCTTCTGCTGACAATTTAAATGCATAAGTTTTGTTGCCTCTGCCCCAGTCGCATAATGATTGATTACCGCTGCCTGCGGCAGGAGATCCCGAGACGGCGGCAACTTGTTGCGCAAGTTGGCAGCCAACAGAAACTGAAGCTGGAGCTGGATCTGCAGTCGATGCCAATGTGAGATGGTGATGCTAAAGCAGAAGTCAATGAACACACATTGCGTGTTCTTCGGCCGGCCCAATCCCAGCCAGACCGCAAAATACACGCAACAACCGACAGCCGACAGCGAACCAAACAGCCAGCGACAGCCAAAGTTGGGGGAACTTGTTCTTGTCTTGGCTGGCAGCCTGAAATTGAAACCCACCGAAACAGTGGTCGAAGCTATGGCCAAATCTGATGGCAGAAAGCCAGCAATGGCATTGAACTGCACCAATTCTTGGTTCTATAATTAAGATAACTCTCATCCTTATTGTTTTCCCAAAACCAAAGATGAAACCATCAAATAACAAAGCAAATAACTTTTGGGGACATTTTGCAACCAATTTCCAAAGCAATTTGTGTGCCAAAGAGCATTTCTTTGATAGTACAAATGAATATATCAACTCCCATCCAACAGTTCTTATGGGCCCCACCAATGAGCCCTAATAGACATATAATTCTATGGCAGCTCTCCCACGTAGCTTTGGCTCGGTTCCCACTATCAACAGAATTACCTCTAATAGTTCCCACTGTCTACATTTACCCAGTACTATAAGTAGTGCTTCTCCTGCTCTTTTAATTTGCATTTAACAAAGCAATCTGCTCCCCCCATTCTATGTACATTCCATTTGTGATCACACCTTGCACCAGTGTGCCGCAGCCGCAGCCGCAGCCGCTGGATGTCTGGTTTCGTTGCGCTGCGTTGCACTCTGCTGCTGCCCCCACTCCACTCTCCACTCTGCTGCTTATACGCATCACTCACATCGGAGTCAGAGTCGGAGTGGGTAGCTATGAGTCTCCTCTTACCGGGGCATACTCAGGTTACGCATACGCCGCTTTGCCTCTTTGGCCGTTGCGGCGGTAAACAAACGACAACTGCCAAAGTGTGATTTACCAGAGGCCTTTGTCCGTCCGTCCACCTCTCTTTCTATCTCTACCTCTGCCACTGCCTCTCTCTCTGTCCGTGTCTGTCCATTGGTTGCAGCATAGGTTGCATCGCTGCTGCGCACCGCTGCACTGCTGCACTGCTGCACTCTGCTCTGGCGAGCACAGCTCCGCTTTCATGTCATGATTTTGCATAATGCCATGCAAATATCGGGGGCCACTGCGAGTACGAGTGTATGTATGCCTATGCCTCCTAAGTTATTGTGTTTTGTGGATGGCAGGCACGCAGCTTATGAAATATGGCCGGCGATTGTTTTCCCGCAGCCGCATGACATTTCCTCCTTCTTCTTTTTTTGTTTTTGTTTGCAAGGGTGGGGCGTGGTGGGGGCAGAAACACAATATTGGCATATATTTCTATGGACATTTAAGGGCTTTGATTTAGTATGCAAAGTTTTTGCTGCTAGGGCCAGGCGCAGGCCCTAAAACAAAAGACTTGGGCAACGAACTTGCTGCAGACTGAGAGACGGGGAGAAAAACGAGAGACATGGAGCCACAACTCAATTAGTTTTCATCATGATTATGATGCTGCCCGTCCCGTACTAATGCGGATACTCATGATGCCACACTGATGATGTTGCCACACTGATGATGATGATGATGAACTTTGGCAACTGCAAATTAGAGAGCGGGCCAACACTTGGTGCCCGAACTGTAGGCTGCACTGCCGAATGGCCTGCTAACAGGAACTGCCACCGATGCCTGAGCGAAGGCAATCAAAGCATAATTATTGATAATAACAGACGCCGTTTTGATGGGCCCTGACATGAGTCCGCCCCCCTCTGCACGAGTACGCCTTCCTGTCCCCCCTTTAAATCCGGTAGCCACACGCGATACTCGCCCAGAAGCAACCAATCGATGAAACTCCAGAGAGAGAGAGCGACTCCGATTCCAATTCTGCCATTTAATATTTACCATCTACTAGTTCTATGCAAAACCCGAGATTCGGCATCGGGAATCTGGTTTCGACTGCGTCGGGGATTGCTTAATGAAGTTATTAAAAAATTGCACCGCAATAATTTCTTTCGCGTCAGCTGCAGCCACAGCCGCAGCCCCATCCTTACCCTGTCACTCCGAATGGCTTCTGGTTGGCTCACATCCAACTCTGGCAATTAACTTGTGTTCAGCTCGTGTCTAAGCATTCAATTCAATCTTAACTGCCATCGAATGCCGCATAAATCTTGAGAGCTTAACCGGGAATCCTCCTCACTCCGACTCCGACTCCGACTAGGAGTCCCAGTTGCAGGTCCAGTCTTCGCGGCGTGTTAAGGGGGCGGTGCCACGGAAAGACATTTACGACTTGTTCGGCCGTCCAAATGACAAAAATTGATGTCTTCGACGGGGCAAAAGAGCAGAAGAATTTCCGCGGGTATTTTTTGAAAATATTTTTATATTCATTCTTCGGAATTTTCTGGGATACTCAAATTTAATGGTTAGTGCGAGATCAGTGGATGTTTCGGCTTGGGAAAAATGTGTACTTCCCAGGAATGATGTTGAAAGACTCCACAGCCGCAGCCAGAGAGGGGAGAGATTGCAACAGAGGTCTTGCGGCACATTTATATTGATTTTGGTTTTAATTAACAAAGCCATTAGGAGCACTTGGCCACAAAATGCAACAGCCTCGCCTTCTAGCAGCAGCAGCCACCGCCTGACAAATGCCCACATGTCTTGTGGGCGTGGCCGTGGCACTGGCTCTGTTGCAGATGCAACTTAATTACAAAAACAAAATGCAGCCAGAGCCAAAGCCAGAGCCAAAGCTAAAGCCAAAGCCTGATGGAGATGGAAATGGAGATGGAGCTGGTGACGATGGCGGCAACTTGCATGACTTGCCCCAGACAATTGGCCAACTCTTGCTTGCCACTTGCCACTTGGCAGACGGCGCCAGAGAAGTGCGAGGCAAGCAGCAACATTGCCAGGCTTTGTGATTTATTTATGCATGGCGATAAAATATGATTTTGTTTTCGTTTTTGTCTTATTTTTGAGCTGTTTTGTTTCAGGTTCCACGGTAATGTGAAAATAAAGCAAGGCCATTAAGAGGCTCCTCTCCCTCTTAACATGTTCGCCATGCTAATTGCCTCGAAGCCCACAAGAAGAGGGGGGTACATGGAGGCAGGGGCTGAGGCAGAGGGGCGGGCCGTGCTTAGACCATGTTTATACGCATTTATGGCCACAACACAACTGCCTCGCATATTAATAGGGTTTTGTGAATTTCGTACCCTAGCAGAAGGTATACTGGACTCCAGCAGTCGTTTGGCTGCACAAAAAAAAAATATAGCTGCCAGTGAAATAATCAGACAATTAAAGGATATCCACTACTTCGACCTACAAAAAAGCAATCATTCTTTTTGTTGCTGTTTTTTTGTGGGTGCTTTTTTTGAGGCATTTTTCAAGCGTCTTAAGCTGCTGTCAAAGTGTCTGAACTCCGGAGGGCAGAGAGAAATTGAAATTGAAATCAGTTTGGAGCTCACTCCACGACTTGTCTGCGCCCACATCAAAGCGATTCGTTCAGATCAGATCAGCTCAGATCAGAAATGGGGCTACACAAGAGCCATCAAAACAAGTGCGTTTTTCTAAAGGGATTGTTGTGGATTTTTGGGATTTATTTGGCCAAAAGTTGACACTTGAGTGACAGATCGAGACAGAGACAGAGACCAGGAAATTCCTCAACGGAGAATATAGAGACCGCTCTCTGTTACTCCACCCCCTTGGATCTAATTAATTAAACATTTAACGCACTCACACAGACACGCAAGGCAATAAATTAATGGCTGCTGGTGTGGGCAAGGGGCATGCGGCTTGTGGCAGCGTAGAGGCAGTCGCGTAATTTTTATTGACAGCTTCACTTTTTGCATTTAAATTGCCTGCATGCCACTGGACGCGTCCAATCCAGCCGCAGCGGCAGCGGCAGCGGTGGCAGCAGCCTGCATTAACACTCTTTGCATTCCTGCCTCGTTAGCTCTTGAACTTGCCACAAGCTGGTTTCTGGTGCTCGCAAACAGGGCAGAGCGGAGCAGGCAGTTGCAGGGGACAGGCAAGCGGCTAAATGCGATCCACCGAGAGTGATAAGCGGACCGGCCTCGGAGGCGGCGAGCAGTTGACGCTTCACGCATTATCATTGTTTGAACGGGGATTAGACGCTGGTTTTTCCCAGCCAGAGCGTAGAATGGGGCACGGCAGCATCTAATCGGCTTTCTCATCGCCATCCGGCGACTAAATGACAAATCAGCAATATCATTTGCCCCCTTTAGCCACCAGCATTCTCCTCTCAATGGCGAGACCTACAGCCTGCAACCTGCAACGTGCCGCATCATTTAACTGTCAGGGCATCTCATAAAATGCAATTAGCAGCTAATTATTTTCAGCATGCTGCCATGTTGCCATGCTGCCACGGTGCCATGCTGGCAGTTGTCAACGAGCCGCAGAGAACAGTTAGTGCAAGAGTGCACTTTACCGTTTTAGCTTTTTGTCAAACATTGGCCAAATCAAAAGCAACAAACGGCTGCCCAAGGCGGCCCGAAGTCCTGAATACCCTGAAACTGTTGGCAGTGCAGCTATTACCGTGAGAGGAGCCATTCGATATGATTGTCAGATGTGGCAAGATTACTTGGCGGCATTTATTCGTTATTTATGGTGTGCTATTTGGTTATCATTCGAGAAGCATATCTTAAATGTTGTGTGCCCGGTTTTAAGAAATTTATAAAGAGATTTGAACAATTCTTTTTCGATTTTATAAGGCATTGATAGTTTTGTGAATTGATTGTC